CAAGACTGACTGTACAGCTACACTTCCCTAAAGAAGTAGACCAACAGCATTCAGGACGTTGGAACAAAGTATCAGAGTATTTGCAGAGTGGCAGCAGTTATGATTGATGATCTGCAAAAACCTAATCTGTTGTAAAGAGGATGTAGCACAAACCACAGAGGAACTAGACATTCTAGTCTATACTTTGCACTATACATTAAAGACCACACAGTGGAGATCCTGGGCATTTTGGGCAACCTTTTTTCTATTGCCACATTTTGCAGCCTTCCTTTACAGAATTATCCTGTTCTCAAAAGATAACAAATGTATCTGGTAACAGGTTGCATGGAGTTTTTACAGATTTTTGCTTGCCTACAGTTGGGGCCTTCCCCCACTACGGTCACAAACTGAGTTATAAAATACTATGTTATAGAACATTTCTTATGCCTCCTGGCATGAGTCTTTATTCTTAGAGCAATAATACCATTTTATAATTTGAATGATTCATGTATATTTCAAATGTGTAACATCAGGAACACTAGTTCAGTAACTAATAATATTAAATTACGTGCCTCTGAAAAAAATATAATTTTTCATCACTTTCTGTTTTCAAGTTCAATTAAGGTTAAAAACACAATTGTGTTTGGGTCAGTAGTTGTTGGGTATCTTTCCCCTTTTGTTGGTTGTTTTTAAAAGCATGAAAACTAGGAACATAAGGGGGAGGCAGAAACATTGATCTGCAGGTATTTCTATACTGGATAGCAAAGTTCAAGCTATATTTTACAATGGGGTGGGCAAAATACAGCCTAAAGGCCGGATTCAACTCACCAACTGACTGGATCCAGCCCATGGCTGCCCCTGTGGCACTGAGCATGAGGCCAAGCTCCACTTGGGGCAGCCAGCGCTGCACACCTGCTCATGCCTGCCAGCCCTGGCCAGCATGCAGAGCTTCCAGCAGGGCTGCTCCCAATGTGACTGGAGAGGCCCGGCTGCCGCTTGGCTCCCTTCACCCCCAGTGGTGGCTCCTCTTCTTGCTCCTGCTCTTGCTCCAACATTCTAGGCAGGGGAGAAGCTGCAGCCAGGCAGCTCCTGCCCCAGCACACAGGGCTCCAGCTCCAGGTTGCCTTCTCCGCCCACCCAGCGCAAGGACCAGTCACTTGCGGGCGGCCGAGTGGGTAGAAGGCAGCTGGAAGCTGAACCCAGAGCCCTGCACACTGGGGCAGCAGTCACCCAGCTCAAGCTTCCTCCCCACCCAGAGCAGAATAGCAGAGACAGAAGCAGGAGGAGGAGCCACTGGAGAAAGGGGGAGCTGAGCAGCACCTGGGCAGCTGCAGCCACATCTGTAAGCTCTGAACGCTGGCAGGGGCTGGGCAGGCAGGCATGGGTGGGAGCATGGTGCAGGCTGCCCCAAGTGGGAGCAGACAGGGATTGGCCCCACGTGGAACACCGCTGGGGGCAGCTGCAGACCACACCACCCGGCTGATCTCTGCTGCACATGCTTCCTGCCTCCCCCAACCCCCAGTTAGTTCCCAGGACCTAGTGCCCAGGTGCCCCTTTCCTCCCCACCATCCCTCCCAACATACTTGCATACAAGGCAGGGGCATGCAAGTAGTGGATCATACCTCTGCTCTGGGCCCCGATCCTGTGTGTCCCTGCCTGCAAAATGGGGGCTATGCCCTGGCCTCATACTCCTTGCCCCGTGACCCCAGCCTCACCCACACATCCTGCTCCCTGCTTGCCCGCAGTCCAATTCCATATAGGCAGTTTTGGCGAGTTATTCTGCAAGGAGGGAGGAAGCAGTGCTGACCCAGCCCATGACAGCTCATCAACATGCCCCATGTGGCCCGCTGGCTCAACTAATTGCCCACCCCTGCTCTACAAAGATAAGTAGGAGGAGTGGATCTAGGCATACTCTTAAACCTTGGCTTACTAACTTCATTTATCACTATGTACTTTGAATACCTCACTTTGCACATGCTTTGTTTGTTTATTAAGTTTCCTTTATAAATCAAGAACAACTTTGGCCTCTCAACATTTAAGGAACAAATAAAGCTTTTTTCTCCCTTAATGTGTTTATTTGAAAACAGGACTCTTCAATCCTCATAATGTAATGTAATACAATACACTAGGGAGATTGTTTCCACCATCTCTGTGGGAATATACTGTCTCAGTCCTGCTGTCACACTTCAAAGCTCCTTCAGTGCAACCTGATGTGGCTAAAATAGGTATTCAGCATTGGTTTATGGCACTTAGTGTATGGAAATAGACTGATCAAGACCTCAAATGGGTTGAATTTACCACCCGGGATACTGAAGACTTCTTTTATTTAACTTTAGATGGAAATGGACATTTCTCTAGACATAGAGGTCAGTTTTTACAAAAGTAAGCAGTGCTACCTGACAGAGTTGTCACCTGTACATACTATGGAAAAAGTACCATCACATACTGATGAGTTAGAAAATATAAGTATTTCCACACCATGGATCTATCATCTTTTTACATGCTTTGGAATATCTCTGGAATTCTATTTTTTCCCTCTCTACAAAGACCTATGAACATTTTTATGACGACTCCAGAGGACAGGAGATTAAATACACACTTCAGAGCTCAACAGTAATGGTAAAACCTAGCTGAACTATAATCGTAACAAAGAAAAAATTAAAAAATTTCAGGGAGTAGTCCTGGAAAGGCAGATTTTCTGTATGTGAAAACTGACAATTAAAATATTTCCAGTAATACAAAATCTTAGTTGTGGTGTTTGCTATTACTAAAAGTAGGGGTGCACCGATAAAGATTTTCTTGGCTGATTATTAACCAGCCATATCAGCCGATACTGATCCGATAACTGATTTACAGAAATGCAGCCAGGCAGCATGGAGAGCAGCGCCTTGCTGATAAGTCTGTGAAGGGGAAGGTGTGTGAGGCCCCCACAGTAAGGAAGGGAGTGGGGCAGGGGCTAGGACTGGAGGCGCTGCCCAGTGCTGGCAGTGAATGGGACCCAGGGCTGGGAGCAGGACAGAGCCATGGGTGGCTCGTCAAGGGGATCAGCAACCCAGTGCTTACAAATGGCAGTGGGGGTGCTTGAATTAAAGCTTGTCAAAAGAGCTTTAGTTCAAGCACCGCCACCATTTTTAAGCATGAGGGTGCTTTTAACCAGAGCGAAGCTGAGTGGGGCAAGGGCAGATGCAGGCTGCTTGCTGTGGGCTCAGGGCTTTCTGCCCTGCAGCCTTTCCCTGGGGACTCCACACAGGCTGTGCATCCTCTGCCCACCCAGCAGCAGGAGGCACAACTCACTACCGGGTGGACAGCAGATGTGAAGCTAACATGGAGACCCCGAGGCAAAGGCAGGAGAGCCCAGAGCCTACAGCAAGCAGCCCATATTTGCCCTGAACACAAATCGGGGGGGGGACATGCCCCCCCCATAACTCCCCTGGGGGGTGCATGCAGCAGCAGGGGGGTTGTCCCCAGTCCCCACTCCCACCCCGTGCCTCCTGGATGAGCCACCCACAGCTCTGTCCTGCTCCCTACCCTGGGTCCCATTCACCACCCTGGCTGGGCAGCACTCCTAGCCTAACTCCCTCCCTCACTATAGAGGCCTCGACCTGTCCCCCAACACCCTTTCCCTCCCCCATGCCCTTTTGCCTCCACAGACTTACCTGCAGAGCACTGCTCTCCACCCTGCCAGCTGCATTCCTGGTCACATGCATACATGCACAGCCCAGGGGCCATATTATATTTATCGGTGACATTATTGGCTACACTTGCCAAAATGCCGATCATGTTAATTTTTCTTTTATCAGTGCCAATCCAATATAGCACTGATATATCAGCACACTTCTACCTAAAAGGTATATGGCTTTGAGTGCACCATATAACCAGAGAAAATGTTTTAATGTACACTGAAGTACAATGAAGTTCTTAGCATTTAAACTCTCTCTAGCACAAATACACACTAACTGGGTGCAACTACCAGAGTAGTAAAATTTTTAAAGGCAAAAACTAACACGCTATTGACACAAGATATGTATTATTTTTCTGCCTTCTGACTACCACCTGAGGTTACTAACCTCTAATTATCAACTGAAAATATAACTGGGTATCGTAAGTGTCAGACAAGCGAAACTTGTCATAAATAAAAGCAAAAATGTGAAATGGGCAGAGACAGACAGTACAGAAATGATACATAGTTAAATTTTAAGGATTGATGTTCTACCTCCTTTCATCAGTACATGGAAATGCATGAGAAAGCTGTATTCCCAAACCAGATAAATTTATGGAAGCAAAATCACCACCATGAAGAGACGAAGCAGATTTTTATAAGCATTTTATAGCAAAGACAGAACAGCAAGCTATTATTGCTTTAAATACTGCTCCTCCCAAGCTCTTATAATCTTCTTGTGCAATTGAATAGCAGCTCAAAAGCAGCTCAGAAGGTGAGAAAAATTATTTCTTGCCTTCTAAAAACATGGAAGGAAACACTTTTGAATCAAATCCTCAGAACTGAAAACAATTTTAACAGTGGGCAAACATACCAGCATCTGTAAGACACAGCTTATAGAAAGGAAGATTTAAAATCATAATACTAAATGACCTTTGGAACTAGCAAAATAGTAAAACTAAATTCCTGTTTCACCTAGCCTAATGAGCTGCCTGTTAGATTCCCCTACTACATCACAGAAATATTAACTTTTTATTTGTTGAATCATAATTAAAAAAAGAAGCCATCTTGCTAGAAGAGAAAAAGTATTGTCAATACAAAGCAATTGCAATCTGTGTGTGCTTTCTGGGATTTAGGGTTCATGTTTTCAACATTTTCTCTGCATCCATGAAGGCTAGAAATTGGAGATGCTCACATATTCCAATTACTCCAGAGGCTGAACCTTAAGATGACACCAATCATCATGAGACTCGCAATTAAACCAAGTTGAAAACACTGGGAAATATGAAGCCAACCATTGTAGGTGATGAAAAAGGGGTGAGATGGAAATGGAGAAAAGGTGATATTAATCCATTTAACTTACATTTGAGTGTTTCTCCAGCATATGGAATATGCAGCTTAAACCGATCACAGCTGGGTCCTGGGGTCAAGGATGTACAGCTAAAAATCAAAACAAGAGAAGGATTTTCTAAACAGAAATAAAAGCAGACAGTTACACTGTTGGAAAACATACAAATGGCTGATGTAGTAAAGAATTAATGAGAAGACTGAAGGCGTTCAGCTTCTCATACTTCTGGAAAACAAAGTTTAAAAGGGGATGGGAGAAACTAGCCTAAATCTTGGAGGTACCTGCCATTCATGGGTTCTCACAACTATTTGAAACATCAAGGTCCGTCCCAATAATCGGTAGCTTCTCCCCAACTCTGAGGAGAAAAAACTTCTGCCAACAACATCTCCCTGATTTTAAACACTTCACAGCAATATCTTTTAATTAAACAACCAAACCCACCAAGCTTGCTAACTCACATATTACAGAAACAACTGATTTTTTCTGACTGGCTCCATGGTACAGATGCCTTGTACTCCTTGTCCTCATCATTCAGGAAACCAAAATGAGCTCTGAATCTAAATAAAGTAGTACTGTAATTTACAAACATTTTTAAATCAATTTTATAGGTGAGGAAAGGGGAGACAAAAGAAATAACAGGAAAGGTAACTAATGTCTGATAGCTCACATCAGATCAGCAGCTGAACCTAGAACAACTCAGGGTACTGCCGTGGGACAAAGATAATCCTTCCACTGGACCATGCACAAACAGAAAGTTTCAAACTAGGACAGAGAGCACAGAGATGGCTGATCCTACGCCACAAGAAATACTGCGTAAGTGCCAAATTACACCAGTCTTTCAACAGAAGTAAGCAAATAGTGTCTAGTAACTGCCCCACTGACATGTTAATAATGATACATATACCCATTTCTCCTCAAAGACCCACTTAGTCCCCCTAAACCCTTCTGCATTTTTACTCAGTTTCAAAATTAGTTCAATGGCATACAGTGGCTTCAGATTCACTTTTGTTCTGCATGTTACATTTGTTATCTAACCTTACTTGCACTCACAGGTAGCTCCTGATCTGATACTGTTTCACTTAGAGGAGTTAAATCAACAGATTTGTCATCCCTGCTTATGATAAGAGTAGAATCAGGCTCTGGGGTGGGGCGTACGGGCTGCATTTCAGTGTAGGCGAAGACAAATAATATCATATTTGTTTGGAGTTCTTTTTTGTTTGTTTGTTTTGTTTTTGGGTTTTGTCTTTTAATACATACTTTACTTGAAACAGATGAGCATACCAAGACAAAAATGAACTCTCAGTTTCATTATGTATATGCAGCAGAGGTGCACTGATAATACAGGTCCCTATTGGATCAGCACCAGTAAGAGGAAAATTGACATTACTGGCTGTTTTTGACCAGTGTAGCCAATAATGTCACTGATAAATGCCGCGTTGACACGTGCAGACACAGGATACATGTAGCCATGGATGCAGTCCACTACCTTGAAGAGCAGCATTCAGCCAGTAAGTTTGTGGGTGAGGAAGACGTGTGTGTGTGTGTGGGGGGGGGTAGGATCAAGGTCCCCACAGTGAGGGAGGGAGTAGGGCTGGGACAGGGGCAGGTGCTGCCCAGCCAGGGTGTGGCTTGGAGTGGAGCCACGGGTTGCTCGTCCAGGGGCGGCTCCCTGCCCCTGAACACATCCCTGGGGGAGGCATGTGCCCCTGGATTTGTGCGTGGGACAAGGGTGGGCTGCCCGCTACAGGCTTGGGGCCAGGGGTTGCACTGACCTTTTCCCAGCAGGAAGCTGAGCCAGGGCTGCACTTGGGGAACGCAGGGGTGGGGCAGGTGGCAGCAGAGCTGGGAGGGGGCTACAGACACCCCAAAATTCACCATAGACCCCTCTCAGCACTGCCACCACCTGCCCTGGCCTTCCCACTCCAAGTGCAACCCTGGCCTACCCCCCCTACCTGGAAAAGGCCAACTGTCCCTGGCCCAGAGCCCACCCTTGGCACGCGCACAAATCTGGGGGGACATGCCACCCATGCTTGCCCTGGGGGCATGTGCAGAGGCAGAGAGCTGCCCTCTCACATGAGCCACCTCTGTACTGTGCCCCACCCTACCCTAACAGGGCAGTGCCTGCCCCTGCCCCAGCCCCATTCCCTCCCTCACTGTGGGGGCCACTATCTGCCCCCCATACCTCTTTCCCCCCGATAGACTTAGCATCCAGGCACTGGTCTCCAAGCTGCAAGGCTGAATATCGGTTGTCAGATCGATATCGGCTGATAGGGCTGGTTAATAATTGGCCCTCGGTACTGGCCAGAAAAATCTTTATTGGTGCACACCTAATACACAGTTGTAGATGCAACTTAACAGCAGCTCTGTTCTGTTCTGATCATTACAGTTTTACCCTCTATTTCCAAATCTTTATAATGATACCCATCACCACATTATTTCTGTACACCTTCCAAAACTAAGCCTATTTTTTTCCTCTCACCTAGAAGCTTCCAAAGCAACTCATCAACAGGTTCATACACAATGTCAATTTATTGTGAAATACCACAGTTCATAAGGGTCATCACCTCTTCAGATAAAATTAAAGTAACATATTTGGTATCTTTTAACATGCACAAAAACTTATGCTTTTGCAAATACAATCTTGTCTTCCATTGCACTACTCTATTTGGAAATACTTAAGGGAAGTGTAATATACTTTATCATTAGATCAGGCTTTTATTTTAATGTAAAGTCCCTACAAGCAACACAAAGTATTTTTCCTAGGTTATTACATTCCACTTGGGATGTTTTTAAATTTTACTGGTCTTGAAGTGATGGAAAGTGACAGCATTTACAGTCATTTCTTGCCAAATTACCCTCTTTGACGAGTCTGCACAAGAGATTTCATAAACTGCAATTGGCTGAAGTAACCAAGCAAAAATTCTATGGAGGTCCATCTGGAGGGAGGGAATTACTTTTCGCTAAAAGTAAGGGGAGGGGGCATAAGACAATTCAGAATTTTGATACAAAAAGTCTAATGGAAAAACTAAACTTTTAAATCATTTTCACAACGGGACAAATGCTTACATGCTTTTGAAGTTGACATTAAAGGGTTGTATGTATGGAAATAATCTGTCACATGAGCTTCCACCATGAAGTTTAAGAGGAATAAACAAACTGTAAAACTGAACACGCATGTGGCTCATTCAGCATACTAATGCAAGTGAGTAGAGGCATAAAGCACCCTCTCCCACTGTCTTGAACTACTGTGGCATACCAGTGATGCCAGCACTTAGCTACATGCATACGGGCAGGACAAGACATAGTTAGGTTCTGATCCCATAGGATCTGATCCTCTATACAGTAGGGATGTGAAAGGTTAAATGTTTAAATAAGAAGTGTAGGAGGGAGGAGGAACAAGAAGGGGAGGGAGAGAGCCAAGGTAAGGAGGGATTAGTATCCATAGATAGTCCGCTCCATCCCTCCCAGTGTGTCAAGCAGCTACAGCAGGCTGGCAAAGCCCGTCACCTGCACTGCTGCTCACAGCTTCACATGGGCTGTGCTGTCTGGTAGGGCTTGCCACCACCTCATCTCCCTGCCCCGCCCCGTCAGCCCCGAGGAGCGGTTCCCAGAAGCAGCTGTGTCCAAACAGGTCTGTGCATGGTCCTCAGCTCCCCGCTCTGCTCCAGGCAGGTGACAGGATAAGTGCCAGCCTGAGGCTCTGCACCCCACCACCCTCAGGCCAGGACTAAGTATGTGTTATCAGTTAATGGTTTCGCCGATATGATTAGAGGAGGTTAATGGATTTTTTTTTTTTAATTAATGATATTTATATCCCTACTATCCAGTGGCATAACTACAACCACCTTGGGCAGTATATGCCACGTTGGCTGTAGACTTGTCTCAGTATAGTCCTTCAACAGAACAGCAAGAAAATAGATTGAGGCCTTTGGACTTTCTTCCAGGCTGCACTTGGGGCATACAAGTGTCTCTAACATACACCATCTCTTACTTTGGACAGACAAACTGATGATATAACCCTTAATCATACAGGCATATTGTATATAATTTTACATTTATAATATATTCAAATTTAGATGTCATATTTAGATTTATAACAATATGATAAATTATATGATATAATTTAGTTTTTACAGAATCTGCTGTTAAACTATAATGGTATATGACTCTGCCAAATTGGTGGAGAAGGGCAAGGTCCCTGGGAAATGCCCATGCATTTGGCTTTGTGCCACAACCAAGCCTTGAAAATTGCATTGTCTCACTGCAATTTAAGTAGACCCCTAGTTATCAGACATCATATTGGAGGTGCCAGGCTAAAGGAGGTTCCCATATTGGAGAAAACAACATAATAAGTCCTCTTAAAAATATTTAGTGAAAGATAAAACGCTGAGAAAAAAATTCATATTCTGGAATAGGAAGATGATGAGCAATAATATCCATCATATGGCTATTCAACAAACCTCTAGATTTAGGACAGAGATCTTTAAGAACACAAGAGGTTACAACAACACTCCAACTTTACATCAAGGACAAGGTAAATTTAAGAAAATGAGGAATTGTCCTCTCTACCGGAGCTAGACCATGCCTTGCTGAGCAAAAAAGAATGTCTGCATCTAGCTGCTGTTGCCACAGATCTCAATGAAAAAGATTAGAATAAAGATACTTATCCTACTAAGCTAAATTAGTATTTTTCAGGTTTTGTTGAGTTAGTGATAAAGATACCAGAATCTCTCCCTCTCCCCCTCCACACATACATACACACACACTTAAAAATGAAGCAAAACCTGTATACCTACCATACTTATGCAAAATACCCTGCTCTCCATTTTTTGCACCTCATTAATGTTCCTTACATTGTTCATCAGCATCTTGCCTATTAACAGCAGCCTTGCAAATTCAATTAGGCTGTTTCTAAACAAAAAATGCCCATGAATTTAAATTAGAGAGGCAAGGGAAGGAGGGACTAGTACCCATAGCTAGTCTGCTCCATCCCTCCCAGCATGTCAGCAGCTGCAGCAGGCTGGAAAAGCCCCTCACCTGCGCTGCTGCCCACAGCTTCATATGGTCTGTGCTGTCTGCCAGGGTTTGCCAC